CCCCCCCACGTTCACCACTTATGGCCTTGGTTTCCAACCCCCCCCCCCCCCCAAAAAAAAAATAAGATAAATAATAATCCAGATAGTATAGTCGCCTAGGCATCTTTGCCAACATGTTCAGTCGTTCCGCGTATACCTGTAGATCTTATACCGCAAATCGGTTTCGCTCCATCGAACCAACTTCCACTATTTACCCAGGTATTTACACCCTCCTCACATCGTCTGGCATCCTCGCGATGCACAACTCCCTACAAAACTCGCCCCATTGGCCGCTCGTGCCCTCCCGCACCGCCTCCTGCAGATCCACGCCGTACCGCTCCCGATACGACCTCTTTACAGCCTGCATGTGCGCCGGGTCCCAGTGGAAACGGACGAGTCTCGAAATGAGCAGTTCCCTGCGGAGACCGTCCTTGCGAGACGCCGTGAGTGCGTGGTTGAGCAGGAGGGCGTCCCGGACGGGCTTGTTGATGACGCCGTTGAGAATATGGGCCAGTAGCTCGCCCTGAGGAACAATTAGTACCTCTTTTCCCCTAATATATACATTGGGGAAAGGGAGGGGGATACGTACGACTAGATTACCGCTCTTCTTGAGCGCGTCCCTTGCAAAATTTGCCCGGTAATGATGCTCGTATTCCTTCAGGACATGCCTTAGGTGGGCGTCGCTCCTCTTGACGACAATGGCAACCATGGCGCTTTCGCCGCCCTTTTCGGCCTTGACCGCTCTCCGGAGGTCGTCAACGTCCTGGTCGACGAGGTGGTAGTCGATGGGTATTCTGCGCCCGTAGGGATCAAAGTCGTCCATGCGGCGCTCGTCGAGGACCATGAGCACGGCCTTCTTGAACTTGTCCTCCTTGAGTTCCACCTTCATACATTTTGTGAGGCTGTTGTCGTACTTTTTGTCGGTGAATGCATCCTTGATGTGGCGGATTTCGTCGTTGGTTCTGCCCATGAGGGACTCGATGAGTAGCTCGCGGCGAGTCTTATCGCCCTGGTACCAGAAATTGGCCCAGTATGCTTCCGACTCCCATTTGCCCAGGGCGACGGCGTAGCAGGCCTTCATGAGGTTGGGGTCCTCGTCCTTGAGGCGGGCGCGGATGTGCTTGGCAATGTTGACACCCTTGCGGTCGGAGCCGGTCTTCACGATGTGTTTGTACTGGCTGCGCAGCTCCATAACTTGATCGTGCGTGAGACTGGGGAGGATCTCGATAAGAGGCTGGATGTCGGGGGTTCTGTGGCCTTTGAGGGCTCTGGCGAGCGTTGTGGCAATGTCTTCTGGGTCGTGGAAGCGCGCGCGGCGGGAGCGCTTCTTGCTGTCGGGACTGTCGACGTCAGAGTTAAGCGGAGAGAGGGCCTCGATGACCCTGGGGTCGCTGCTGGGGTCTTTGGAGGCGATGAGGAGAGGGGACGGCATAGGCGAGCAGTCTTGATATGTACCCCTGTACGATTCCAGGAGCGGCGAGGCGGGAGCAGCGGCGAGTGATAGGTTGCTTGAGCGACCAGTGTCAACTGTTAGGCTAGACATGCGGTTTGTTGGCGGTTGAGGGGACTTGTCGCGCGCGCCACCACGACGGTCTCTTGAGCGGTCTCTCTCCTTGCGATCTGATTCTGGGGAGAGTGTTGCCGGCCCGGGAGATATGTCCCTTCGGCGATCCCGAGATCGGTCTCTGTCGCCCCTGCCAGGCTCAACTGTCAAGACATTGGCGGAATGGCGAGACTCGTCTCGGTATGAAGTCTCAAGACGAGACTCTCTCGTGTCGTGGGGATTTTCGGGTCGGGTGGCTGGCCTTCGTCGGCGATCATCATCGTCCTCTCGGCCATACCTTGAGGGCCGCTTGTCGCTCACTTGAGAAGCAGAAATGTAGCTGCCATAAGTAGGGGGCGACTCTTGTCTCTGAGAGGGAGACGGCCCCGGAGGTTTGCCGTAAGCCAAATCGTCCTCGTCCCGCTCCTTCTTGGACCTGCTGTCGCGGTCACTCCTCCTGTCCTTGTCGCGCTTCGAGTACTTGTCGTCGCGAATGCCATTGGTGTCGTCATCATCATAGCGACGACTGTACTTTTGCGGGAGAAAATTGAGCTTGTCGTCGGAAACGTCGTCCCGCGAGCCCCGCGAGTACTTATCTCTAGGCGGAGAGGCGTCACGGATCCGAGGGCCCTCATCTTCTCGTGCATACTTGTGAGCCCGACGAGCCCGCGGGTCATCATAGTCGTCGTCTGATCTATTCCTCCTCTCGTACTTGGAGTCCCTGGCATCAGCATAGTGCACACCTCGCTCCTTGTCATCATCCCTCCTGGAGCGATGGTCGTCTGGAAACGATCCAGGCAGCTGACTGGAACTTTGGCGCTCTATCTTATCGCGAGAGCTTCGATACGATGATTCCCTCGGCGGGGAGGCTGTCTTGTAGATAGGTCGCGCATCATCATAGCTGTAGAGCGATTGGCTTCCGGGGAGCATTGCATCCACATCCATGCCGCCTTCGGGAGGGTAGGGCAGTCCCCCGGCATGGGCTGAGTCACGGTAGCCTCGAGACCTGTAGCGATCATCTAGGTCGTCCTCGGGATAGATGTAGCTTGGTTCTCGCACATCGGCAAACCTGGTGGCGCTCGAGCGCTCGGCGTCGTCTCTCGGACGCCGGTCACGAGACCTCGACCTCGACCGGTCTCGTCGGCGGTCGTCCTCCACGGCAAGAGACATATGGTGATGGTGTTTTGGGGGCCTTCAAACAAAGCTAAGTGGGTGTTTGAGTGGTGGGCCGGCAGGTCGTGGTTCGAGGCAAATTGGCCACGGGCGACTAGCTGCGCATCAAGATGAGGACAGACGCGAAGTTATAGCCAAGGGAGGAAGGAAGAAATAGCCCAGCGCTGGTAAGAAGCAGCAGCTCTGAAGCTGACAGACAGACACCCAGTCACGAGGCGCACATGGAACGGCACCCGCTGGGCCAACCATGACGTCCACGGCTCAGTTCAATGGTCTTGTCTGGTGCACTTGGCGATTCCCCCAGGCGCTGACGGACACTGAAACAACTAGCATTAGGCAGATATGCAGTGGCCAGAACCGACGGCCAATGGCTTCAATGTTCCGGTTCAGACGGCCGGGATCAACTGGCGATCGTTGACATGGAGTCAATCCCTGGTGCCACGCCCGGCTGCACCCTCGCTGTTCCAGGGGTTACCATTCGCCATTTAGGCCAGGGCCTAGAGGACGCGGTGCTGCTGGGCGCCAATCGAGAGCAGTAGCACTAAACCGCGGGCGCTGGTCAACCGCTCCCTCCCCTAAAGGGCTTAGCTTCATGTTCCACTCCTTCCTCGGATATTTTGACAACCACGGGCATACATAAGTCAATTTTCTGTGCGTTCAATGTTGCCCCAAATCGTCTCATCATCAACCGATGGTGCTCAACCTACGTGCTGCATTGCCGGCTATGCCGCAATCTTACTGGGCTATACCAGTGGCTGAGCTGATTCATGTTTAGCTCTCTTTTTTTTTTGCTCCTCTTCCTTGTGCTGTTGATCGCCGCCAGAGTTGGAGACGTACGGGCCGGGTGGCTGACGACTTTGGTCTCGAAGCTTGGAAACCACCCATACACACAGATTACTAATAACATCATCGTTGACGGCACCGACGCGGGATGGGCCGCTCTTGGTCTTGAAACATCCACCAAGACCCGATACGCCCTCTCGTCTTGGCCTCTGGCAAGCCAAGCCTTACGGACTTGCCCGCTGCATCAGAAACTTGACAGAATCACCATGTGCCTAATCACGTCCTGCTTTCCACGCGTTGCCAAGCCATGCGACGCACTCACTGCGTACAAGCAGGCTGTGCAGAGACATCGAATCGACTCGCGTGACCTTGTGTACCATTGCGGCTATACGTGTAACCACAAAAACCTCCCCTGAGCTACAACACAGATTGCCACCCAAGCGACAATCTCAAGGGTCTACTAATTTGACTCACCGTCCTCTTCTCCTCTTCGTCCCGTTCTTCCACAAAAAGACTTATTGGTCTTCCTTGGGAGCCCGTTCGCCCCGTTGAAACACAAACAGAGCTTCATCCTTGCCGGCAAAACTTGGCAACGGCATCTGCACCACCTTGACCCAATCCTTCCTCTCCCTCGCCATGTACTCATCCATCGTCATGCTCTTGAATCCCGTATATCCATTGCGATTCTGTGTGCCCACCACGGCGATGGTATCACCCTCATAAGCACCGACCAAACCACGCGTGAAGCTGCCCTCCGTGCCGCCCCCTACGCCTCCCCCTACGACAGGATACACCAGCAGCAGCACCATGTCCCTGCCCTTATTGTTCCTCTGCAGCCACTTCACCCCATCCGCGATGCTGGTGTCTTCTATCCAGTTCACTCTCCACTCGCTCTGCATGTTGTCTACTGCGTGGACGGTGAGCCCATAGCCTCGGAGCATGAAGCTCCAGTAGCCGTTGCCGGAGCCGACGTCTGCAATGGGCCGGCCGTCTGCGAGGATCCGCAAGGCCTCCAGGCCTTCGTGGGACGGCGTCACGCAGCCAAAGTGGTGCATGAAGATGGGCAGGACGTGGTGGCCCATGGACGTTCGCTCGGAGCACGCGTTTGGGCCGCACCACTCGAGGTTCCGGCACGACCAGGCCCAGAAGTCAAAGTAGGGATTTTGTATAGGCGGCGATTTGCATTTTGGGATGGTAAGTTGGGTGAGCAGGCTTGGGTGGATGAACTTGTTTCTGGAGATGTGGGCGGCGGTTTCGGACCGGAGCGAGCCCTTTTTGGCGTTTGTGGTAAAG